ATGAGAGCACAGCGATGCAGAACCAATATAGGGATGTTTCTTTCCTTAGGCGGGTACTAGTGTCCACCAGCATCACCAGACGGGCTGCTCTTAAGCGCTGTTCATAGCCAGTATCAATGAGCAGCGGGGCTTAAAGAAGTGAGGGGAGAGGTTTTACATTTATCACAGTGGCCTAACCTGAACTCTTCAATAGCAATTAAATAACATTTATTGCTCATGGCTCATGATGAACTATAATGTCTGTTATCAGAAATGTTCCCAGCCTGAGCAATTAGTTTTGAATCAGGTATGGAGTTCTGGCTTTAAGCTTGATTGAAAACTCGAACACTCATGGATAGTTCAACAAAAAGCCCTACTAGAAAGACGTGTACTTAAGTTTGTCTCTGCCACTTACATAGTAAAGCTCTCCTTTAGCAGTGCACTAAAATGTTCCTTAGAATGCAAATGTATGTATCAATCAGCTGGCTATCTTGTTAAACTGTAGAGCATGATCAAATAAACTGAAAGAGTGGACTATAGATACTATATTTCTACCATGAATCTATGTATTATGATGCTGGTGGTGTTGCCTGAACAGCCTTGAGTGACAAGGTCTTAGAAGATCATTGATAGAACAGATTGAAATCACGTGTGTATGAGAAAACACTGTAAATAGTGAAATACATATATACATATATAAACTTTATTTTAGTTGATAATATTTAACAATTTAATTAAAATCATCACGAAAAATGTTTTAGAATTAGTATAACTTTTATGTGTCAGTTTCAAAAATAATTTTTGATAGTCTTCAGTTTTTCTTTCTTGATAAAATCAAGTCAGATGGGGAACTGGTAAGGAAACATGGGAATATTTTGAAAAAGCTTGTGTTTAGCTGGTTGAAGATTTGCTTCATAAGGTCATTTTGACCAAATATACACATATTTTAGAAATGTGCTCCAGTAAATGCTGCACCTGAGTGACCCTATAGACCATTTTATTTCAATTAAGGAAGAAATAGGAAATTGCAAAGATGAGAAAGGGGTATGGAGAGAGAGAGCTCTGAGGTTAACTGTGTGTACTGTCCTTGCAAAGCACCCAAGCTCAGTGCTCAGGACATATGTCAGGAGACTCACAGCTGCCAATAACTCCAGCTCTGAGGGAATCCACATTTCTGGCATCCAATGACACCTGTATTCACACGCAAATACCCACAGAAAACCACATACACATGATTAAAAATAAAATAAAAAAAAAATAAAATAAATAAAGAGAAAGAAGAGGTAAGTTAACTCTAGGAGTGTTCGTAACATGAAAGGATTACCATGAGACAGAAAGTTAAAACTAAGGACCCTAGGAGGTAGAGCATCTGCCTTTACATGTGAGGCACCAGGTTTGGCACACAAAATCATACAAGCAACACACACACACACACTCACACACACACAAACCAACAAAACAAACAACATCATGAATGCATGTTAAAGCTGACAAGTAATCAGAGTCCTATGGGGGCTTAGTTTCCACAAAACTGTACTTTCGTGTTGCTGTTGGCATTTTCTAAAGGAAACGAAGTTTATCCACATAATCACCTATTTATAAAACACTCTTCTCCACATTAAATGTAACCAACTGCGCCCTGTTCAAGAAGATGCACACTCTGACTCTCCAATCCTAGAAGCTTTTGATCAATTCTTCATTATTGAATGATCAGTTTGACTCTGGGTAGATGATTTTTATTACGTATTGGACAGTGGAGAGCAGATATGTTCCATAAGCCAAGTCCTTCTCAGTATTACCAACACATACGTCCTGTCTCATCAAATCTCTTTTTAATGGTTTTAGAGACACCGTGAATACAATTAGAACTCTGCCAAACATGCCGAATATCATCAGATTTACCTTCATCTGAATTTTATACTTTTTCTTCCTTCTTCCTTATTTTTTTATTCTTTCTGACCTGCTTGTGTTGAAAGCCAGCATCATTCATATTCCAAATGCCATAAGTTTGGTTTCATCAGAGAGAAAAGAAATCATAAATAAGGCTAAAATTCAAACAACTATGTGTACTGCCAGCACTTTGCATTGAATAATAAACTAAACAAATTTACTAACACCAGTTACTAACTTAACTGTTTAGTCAAGTCCATACCAATCATGGAGCTTTTAAATACAGAACAACACAGAAAGACTCATTTCTGAAAGTGTTCAAGGCACAGACATTCAAGGACATCATAACTGCACACACACACACACACACACACACACACACAAGCACACACAGGCTGTTCTTCGCTATAGTCTTAGGTAATACGCAGCAGCTGCCCCAAGTAGGTGGCCTCATAATTAGTTGGCTCTTCACCCTCTATCTGTTTCACCTAAGAAAACCTGAGGCTTTGAGGATGACTGAGCAGCAGCTTCCCTCCACAGAAACACTTGCGTCGTGCAACAGACGTGGTTTTAAATGGTGGAGATAATTGCTTAATTCAAGCTAGAGCAACTGTCCAAGTAAACATGTAGCAGCCAGGAAGCTATTAGCATGATTTTAAGGCAATTATTCCATTAGTGTTTAATAGTCTCCAATTAGTCTGCTCTATCAAAATTTGAATGTGTTTTTTTTTTCCTCCAAAAAATTCTGTGTTGAATAATGCAGAAAGGTACCAGACTCATTTTAATCCTGGTTTTATAGAAAAGAACATTGCCAAACTTATTTTGTAAAACCATATGGGTATTCAGGGATATATACTAGGTAAAAGTGGTGTGTGTGTGTGTGTGTGTGAAGTATTTCTGCAAGGCTATGTCGACCACTTACTTTGACTCTTATACTAAAAGGGGTTGGAATACAATGGAAAGTCCATATCATCCAAATACATCATCTTTATGTATGTATCTTTACCAGAGTCCAGCAGGAAATCGAAGTCCCTGACCTCAAAGTTCCACTTAGTCCCACGAAGGAGAAAAGGAAAATTACCCTGTCTCTACAGCTGCCTCACTTCTCACCTCAGTGCGAACTTGTTGCTCCTGAGTTACACTCACATGAATCTCAAAATCCTTATCCTTGTATCCCTAGGAAATATTCCATAACACCTCTCTTAGGGATCAGCTCACTAAACTGATTTTAGGACATTTGAGTGCCTGGGTCTTGTTCTGAGGGGGAAGGCTTTCCATCTGTGAAATAGCAATGGTAATCCCATCACTGCCCAATTTACAGAATTTCTGGAAGGATGTGAGCTAGCATACGAGAGTTGGCTTTGATACAGGCCTTTTTGATAAGCCTAAAATGTGGCATCACATCATCCCTCAGAGCCAGCATGCTACCTCAGACATTTACTCTCTAGAGCCTCTCTTCGAAAAATAGTACTTGCCCTTATTACACACCTTGGTGCAGGAAGCACATGAAAATACCTGTCTAAGAAAACAAATAGAAAGCAAAGGAAGAAAAAAAAAATAAGGACAATGGGGATGCCTGTGGACGTGAGAGTGAACTTTCACTAAATTGTGTGCTTTCTGCTCCTTCAAAGGAGCAATCCCGGGGCTCACATGGCCTATGGAATGGGTACAGAAGGGAGGCTGAGTTGGGCTTTTCCAGAGAAACACCTAGGTGCCTGGGAAGTCATCTGTTGCAAAAGGACAAAGGAAGAGACTATCTCCTGAGGAGAGTGCTCCGACCAGACTGTGCCTGTCTTTCCCACCAAACATCTGCTACAGTTAAGTTTACTGGTGAGTTTCAACGCTTGTTGATTGAACACAGAGTGAGTTTTTTCTTTTCCTTCCAGAAACCTGTTTCATTTCTTCCTTCTCTCCTTATTTCTTTGGTTTCACTTCCACTCCTTTCCTCCAAACTCCGTCATGTTTTCTCACGGGGTTGGGCTGGGGTGGAGAGGTGTAGATAGGGCAGATTACAGGAAGTAGACCAGAAGGTTGAAGTTAATAATGTAGCTCTACTCTGGGCAGGGGCTCGTGATTATCCACGAGCAATTTGCCCTCTAGCCTAATCTTGTAAAGATAGATGTGCACAACCTCAGCCCATGTTCATAACAGAATTGCTAAGGAAATACAGGTATTTCCCAGCTGCAGCACTCACAAACTGCCCAGAAACAATCTTCTCTCTTCGATACCCGAGTTGGGGACTACTCTCTGCTCCGACCCGGAAACCTGGCCAGGGCTCTAATCCAAACCATGAGCACCATGCTTCAGTGTCTGTCCTGATGCCACATATCTATACCTGCTGTTCCTAAGCTTGCTCGCTCCTCCAGACCACCAGCTCAGTCACCTTCTCCGGGGCCATCTGCTCATTATTCCATCTTTACGCCGCTGCTCACGCGGATTTCACTGCCTGGTTTCTGTCTGGGGCAGCAAACGTTCAAGGGTTTGCTTTCCTGACCCAGGAGCTCTACCTTAAGCAGCTCTTTTACCAGACTCCCTCCTGGTCCAAGCCAATTAGGGCATGCTTGCTTTTTGCTTCTTGGCCCCTTCAGCTTCTTGTCAAGGACGGTGATCATACTATCTCCACCGGTCCCGGTCCCTGAACTTTCAGAAAGCGCTTTGTCTCTTTAAAGAAGACTGGGGGTGAATGTTAATGATTCTAACAGTGAAGCTACCAAATTCTCCTAAGTCCATGCCGGGGATGGACTCAATGATGCTAGGGAGCCCAACTCCTAGGAAAGCCAGCTCCCTCTTATAGCGCACAGACTCCGGAACCTGACCTGCCTGCATCCCTCCCCCCCACCCCCCGCAGGCTCCCAGCCACCCCCAATCTTCAAGGAAAACCATAGAAGAGGGTCTGGAGCACAGTCTCGGAACCACCTTCTCCCTTGCCCCAACCCTGCGGACACAGCCTGCATTTGAAGCCCAGGGAAAGAAAGCAGTCACCTTGACTCCTGGCGCGCCAGGGTCTTCCAAGGTTCGGAATTCCCGGGGACCCACCCCCTGGACAAACATCCCTCAGGCAGGCACAGGACAACTTAACATTGAGTGCAAGACGAAGCAGGGCGGGGCAGGTGCACCAGGCACCTACCTACCTGGGATGGCTAAATTGGTGAGGGGAATGCTGTGGATGCTCTCAGGCAGAGTTGCCATCCAGTCGGCGAATTTCAGCTCGTTTTTCCCCTGAGACGAGGCCATGGTGCCGGTCTGCTTGCCGCCGCGCTGGTCCCCACACTCCTAGGCACAGGCTGGCAGCTGCTGCCGCTAAGCCAATGTTTGCTTCGGCCCCGTTAGAGTTTACACTCCGCTCTGCGCCACACCCACAGGATGGCGCAGACACATGCTCATTTTAATAATTATTCAAAAACACCCCATGCTCTCTCCTAGCCTTAGCCAGACTCCACTGCTAGAGCTTTTGTTCCCGACGTCCGTGCTCCGCTCTCTGCTCTCTCCCCCTCCCTTCAGACTCCCTCCTCCCGCCTCACCTCTCCTAGATGGCTCTGCCTTTCCTTGCCATTCTGCAGCTCCCCTCCCCTTCTTATTATTAGTCTTTTATCTTTCTAAAAACTTGGTTTTGGAGCTTCTTTGTCCCTAGTCTTTTTCTGTCCCTTGGTACGACTTCCTAGTACAGTTTGCATGAAAGGCAGTGTTGCAGTTGGATCTAAAAATCCTGATAGACTTGAAGATAGACTCTGAAGAGCAGACTCATCTTTGGCTCTCAGGACTTTCCATTCATCCCAAAGAGTGTTCCTTTCCCTAAACTACAACAGATTATGGTTTTTGTTTTTTTTTGTTTTTTTTTCTCAGCCCGAGTCCTCAGACCTATTTATACAAAATGGTGGTCTTTATCACTTGTCTAATTTTTCGAGGAGCTGAATATATGTGGTGAGCTGGAAGGGTAGTATATTTTACAATTCGGTTTTTAAAGCTTGGTTTCAGACATTTAACGGTCAAGAAGCATTGCTGCAGATTGCGAGGACCCGCTGTTTCTGAGGAAAGAGTGATGCCCTTCCTTTCTTGGCTTCATGGTACTCAGGATAAGATGAAAGTCTGAGGCTGGAAGAAAATCACATCTCCCAATGACATGCTGTAATTACTGCCAGTAGCATTTGGTGGCATGTATTTGGCACCATTTGAAGTGATCTATGTGGTTGTTTGGATTTTCATTCCTTGGCAGACTAGAGAGATGTGTATCTCCAGAGAGAAATCACTCATGCGGCTCCAAAGAACTGTCTGGGTCCACCTGCTCCCCAGTGAGAAAGAGAAGGGAGATCAAGCCATACAAATGTAATGAGACTGGCATTGGCCTGAATAGGGCTATCTGAGTCAGACTGCCCATGTCACCCAGAGATTTAGGATGAGCTAAATGAGCTTGTTTTCCTGTGGAGGGGTGTGTAAATTCTTTCCACAGAGGAAATGAAAATCAAGGTAGGAGAGACAGCACTATGAAATGTGAGAATAATCAGTTGATTTCAGGAAACTCATTTAGTATTTTAGGATCTGGAGAGCCTTTTTATTTTGTCCCAAGGATACTTCGACCAAAGAAAAGTCCCTAAAGATTCGAAATCACTTTGGGAAAGACAGAGAGGAAATGATGCCTAATCCTTTTGATCACCTTATCTTTTCATCCTAGTGGAAACAGTTCATAGTGTCACGAGGGCATGGTAGGTCTACCTTCAAGGATGAGAATACAATGTACTGGAATTTCCCTGCTCAAGGAACGCTTGATATTCTCACTAGCACATCAGATGCTCATATCATTTTAGCTAGAATGAGAATCATCTCATGTTGAGCTTGTTGGCCAAAAGATCCATAAGCATCACTTTTCTGACTAATGCCAGTATTCTCAAGGCAGCACTTCGGGGCAGCAAGTGAGATTTAGATTGGAGAGTTCATGAAGAAAGTCCTCCAGTCCCTGTTAGCCCAGTTTTCCCCATTACACAGTCATGACAACCAAGAGATGAGTGGTGACACTCCTAGAAGAGAGTGTAGATGTTTGTTGAAATAGCAGCATCTGTAAATCCTCTTTTTCTTGTCCTCTTGGAGACTGTTATAGCTTTTTAAAGTATTCTTTCTAGGGTGGTCTATTAATTGTGCAGCTTGGGAGATAGTGTTCTATAAGATGTACTTTAAAAATATTCTCCTTCCAAGTGCATTGTGAGGAAGTGTCCTGAAAACTTTAGGAAATGGTTTATGAAAGATGATTGTCACAAAGTAGAATTGCTTCTTCCTAGGGAAACTTTAGTGTTTGCCCTTAAGACCTGCAACTGATTGGAAGAGGTTAATACATAAAATAGATAATACATAATACATAAAATACATAAAATTTTTAATGACTCATTAAAAATTATTATAAATGTTACATTATCTACAAACATCTGTATAGCAACATCTACTGTAGTATTTGAACAAATAGCTAGTCATCATAACTCATCCAGGTTATGACATGGAAGAGAAATCATCACACTCACTGGAAAACTAATTACAAAGATGGCTATCAATCCCCAGGTGTCTTTGGGACTATATTATTCTCTAAGTCTGTTGCAGTTAAGAGCATCAGTACACACACAGTAGCTAGATACAAAAAAGAAAAACAGAGCATAGATATTTGTCTTGGCTTTTTAATCCATGCAAGCAAATGAAGGTATGGATCTGTATTCTTATACCTACAACATGAGAAATGCCATTGCAGCTTCATTGTGGTGTTTCATAGTAATTTATTATTCTTGTTTCATTCCGTTGTTGTGATAAAAACACTCTGACTAAATACAACATGGGGTGGACAGGGTTTATTTCATTGTACATTTCCAGATCATGTTTATCTTTGAGAGACTTCAAGGCAGGATCTCAAGGCAGAAACATGAAAGTCGCATGGCTTGCTGTTCCATGCAGTATTACCTCAGGACAGAAAATGCACAGACAGAAGAGTACAGCAGCAGCCATGGAGGAGGATGCTTGTTAGTCAGTTTGCTCCCTTAGAGACTCTTCTTAGGCAACTTAGGACTACCTACCTATGGATGATCCCAGTCACAGTAGGCTAGGCTTTCCTACATCAGTCAATAATCAAGAAAATCCATTGTAGACATGCCTACAGGCCTATATGATCTAGCTAATTCCTCCATCAAGGTTATTCCCTCAGATGACCCTACCTGTACAAAGCTGATAGCTAAAACCACCTAAAATCATAGTCCTTTAAGTATAGGTGAAAAGAATAAAGTCAGTTAAAGTAGTATGGGCCCCTGAAACTTGTTCCTGCAATTTGCTGTCCATCAAATTCACACTATATAGAGGACCTAAAAATTGTTACTTCTCTCAAACATCTTACTTCCTGTTCACCTTTACCTATAAAGATACAGTGGCACAGTATCTTTATACAGTGCCTTATCTGTTCAGTCAGGTCATAATCTCCTTTAATTGCTAAACTAAGTTTTATTTTTAAGCTAAATTGATTTTGAATTGAGTTTTAAAAAAATAAGGATTCTTACAGGGCAGGAAACACTATAATACATTTTGGTCAAATAATGCCTCAAAAGGGACTATCTGTTTCCAGTGATTCAATTAACCTGTTTTTAAGACCATAAAACAAATTCATGCTTTTAGAGTCAGGTTTAAAGAACACATACACAAAAGGCAATAATCTTTGTAAAATTAAAAAGCATGAATTTTTTTGTTCTCTACAACATACACCTAGATATTCCGTCCAAAGAAATTTACTGTATTTGTTTTTTTTTCTTTTTTATTAACTAATTCATTTACATCTCTGTCATATGCCCCTCCCTCCTCTCCTCCCAGTCCCACTCTTGCTCCCTATACCTTCCCCCTATTCTTTAGAATAGGGGAGTCTCCCCCTACCCAGACACCCCAGCTTATCTATTCACATAATGACTGGGTTCCTTTTCCTCGCTGTGGCCCTATAGGGAAGGCCCATCAAGGGGAAGTGAGCAAAAAGCAACATGGACCAACATGAAGCCCAAGATGTCCATTGGACTTCTCTTCTTGGGGTCTGTGCATGGTAGTATGTCTATCCTGTACTATATACAGAAATCCACTTACAAGTGAGTATATTTCATGAATGTCTTTCTGCATCTGGTTTATCTCATTCAGGTTGACCTTTACTAGCTCCATCCATTTGCCTGCAAGTTTCATCATCCTTCAGCTGTTAAACTCCTTCAGCAAAGTGACTGGATACAAGATTAATTAAACAAACAAACAAAAAAATCAGTAGCCCTCCTGTATACAAATGATAAAAGGGCTCAGAAAGAAATTAGGAAAACCACACCCTTCACAATAGCCACAAATAATATAAAGTACCTAGAGGTAACTGTAATCAAGGAAGTCAGAGACCTATACCCCAAGAACTTCAATTTCTAAAGAAAGAAATTGAAGAAGATACCAGAAGATGGAAAGATCTCCCTTACTCATGGATCAGTAGAATTAACATAGTAAGATGACTATCATACCAAAGGCAATCTACAGATTTAATGCAATCCCCATCAAAATACCAATACAATTTTTCACAGACCTTGAAAGAAAAATTCTAAACTTCATATGGAAAAACAAAAAAACCAAAATAGCTAAAGCACTCCTATTCAATAATAGAACTTCTGGCGGTATCACCATACCTGACCTCAAGCTATATTATAAAGCAATAGTAATAAAAACTGCATGGTACTGACACAGAAGTAGACTGGTTACTGAATTTGAAGTGCATTTTTAAAAAACCCTGAATTTTAAACAAAATAATATCTTCAATAACAACAAAACAAAACAAAACAAAAAACCCAGATCAACCTTTCTTTGCTCAACTATTTTAATATTTTTCATTTTCTGAAGCAAAACAAAACATGGTTTGTCCCTGCGGATGGAAAAATGCTCATCCTACAAAATTAAAATTTAAAGAGGGAATTTAAAGTTTATGGACCAGAATGAGAACACAGAACACTGGAATCTCTTGTTATGCTTCTTGATCTCTGTGTTTTTCTTCCTTCTTCATGGTATATGTGCCCTTCAGGATTTAATCTGTCAAGATTCTTTCTACAATAACCAATTCCTTTTTGCAAATGTCCTTGTCATATGTCTTAGTTAGGGTTTTATTGCTGCAAAAAGAGATCATGACCAAGGGTACTCTTTTATTTTTGAGACTGGGTCTCTCTAGGTAGCCTTGGCTGTCCTGGACTCCCTTTGTAGACCAGGCTGGCCTTGAACTCACAGAGATCTGCCTGCCTTTGCCTCCCAGAGTGCTGGGATTATAAGCATGTG